GTGCTACGAACAAAAATTGAAAATCGCTCAAACTCAAACGTTTTACTGTCCTTTCCACTGTAAGTATTTTCATCGCGAAAATTGCGAAAATCGGTAACTTGGAGAACACCGTCATTTTGATGAAATTTTCACACAAGATCACAAAACGGCCCTGAAGTATATGCCACGATAGGTGTATGATGATTTGAATCAAGCACTTCTACAATTTAAACGGCCTTCTGAAATGAGTTTTGTAAATATTTGGGATCTCAGTAATTCTGCAGATTTTCCAACAATTTACAAAACTCTCCAATAAATTACTTTGAGCCCTTCAATTTTTATAAGATGAAGCCCACTTATTACCATTTATGGTGTTTTGGAGAGCTTGCCATTTTAGGCGGGAAAAAAATATTCCATACTGATAAAAAAAGTTGACTAACCGAGGGCCATCTTGCTCTGAACAACAAAAAGTCTTAAGAACCCTCCATTACTGTACAAAGCAAATAACATCTAAAATATCGGTGCGAAAGCCGAACCCAGCTGAAATGAATGTAAAACGCAATAAGAGACCTCGATGGAAAATTTTATTCCTATTTTTATTTCCTTTGAATAAAGGGATGTGCGGCCTTAGCCGTCTCTGTTCGTTCCAACTTTTACGGGTTTGTTTGTTATTTGTTCGCGTCTCATTCCAAGAAATGCATGCCGTTCGCTCCTGGCACTGCCTCCTTTCCTTGTTTGTTAAGTTTACATCAGCTATGTATGTATCTCGTTTTTCAGACTGAATGTATTTTCAGTTTGCGAATGTAGACATAAATTCGTGGGTATGCCCTACAGGCAGTCAATTATGTGCTCTTGATGCTAACTGCAAGAAAATGGTTGAGCTGCATAACTAGTTTGTATTACTGAGAACTATTATGTGGAGCCGTAGGCATTTTCATTTTTTCTTTTAGCCAATATATAAAAAAAGATCAATTGTCGCAAGTCTTAGATCCTTTTTCTCAAATGTTCGACCCGCTACAATTGGCACGGATATTACGTATCTTGAAAAGTGATGTTATAGCGATTTTTTTTGACATTATACTGTTTTTTTTTGACATTATGTATGTTTTCATACAACATCTTAACTTATCACTTAGTTGTGCGTGTTGTCTAAACATCATGAGGCTTCAGTTATCAATGTTTGGCTCTGATGTGATGTAAAATCTGCTCATTACTGGAGGTCTAGGCCATAAGTTGTATGTGTTGATGATAATTCCATTGGATTCTTGTCTCAAATACACTTAATTGAGATTCAAAGCTAGAAGTTAGTTGCGCATCCAATTTTTCTTATCCATTCTGGAAATTACATATGCAAATTTGCTTAATTTTAAAAATGAGAGAGATAAGAAATAATTATATTCACTGTACACTGTCGAATTACAAGCCATAGACAACGCGGGCGCGGTGATGATTTCTCGTAATTCTCCTGTTTTTCGTAATTTCTAACTTTAAACATAACCTGTCGTCAGAAAGGACAACATATACTAAGTGACATATAAATCCGAACACCCAGTTTAAATGGTATTATTTTAATAAAAGTTGGTGAATGTATTTATCTTACTGTAAATAACAAGTGAAAAAATTTTTAGCCTTATCAGTTGGACATTCCGGTTTTTATACTGCTTTTTTTTTAATTCACTAACGCTCTAAAAATGAATATTTCAGCCGCAGTAAAGAATCAACGTTGGCGGATTTTGGTTCTTGACATCCTTTACGATCGGTTACGATGCCTAGAGTATGGAGACCTGTACGATTTCGTCACCTTAGTGAGTTTGATAGGGGCCGTATAGTGGGACTTCGGGAAGCTGGACTTTCTTTTCGGGCAATTGCACTTAGAGTGCAAAGAAGTGTAGACACTGTGCTTAGGTGTTGTCAGGCATGACTTCAAGAAGGCCGTACGCAAAGAGCAAGGGGCACTGGACGCTGCCGTAGAACAACAGACCGTGAAGATCGCCGCCTAGGCTAATGGGCGTAAGGGACCGTTTCTCCACTACCAGGTCCATTGCAGAAGACCTATAGACATGCGAAGTGTTTACCGACGAATGAGAAGTTTTGGCTTGTTTTCATACCGGCCACACTGGGTCCTCCCTTTAACTCGAGAACACCGACGTAATCGCCTTGAGTGGTGCAGACAACGGTCACTCTGGGATCAGGAATGGAACAGTATTGTCTTTAGTGACGAGTCTCGATTTTGTTTAGGCATGCACGATGGTCGTGCCAGGGTTAGAAGGCGACGTGGTGAAAGGAGGAATCCACAGTTTTTTGTTGAAAGACATGTTCATCACACTGTTGGAGTTATGGTTTGGGGTGCTATAGCTTATGGTTCCAGGTCACCTTTAATCTTCATCAGAGGTAACATGAACGCGCAGCGTTATATCCACGAAGTTCTAGAACCCCATCTTTTACCCTATCTTGACACCCTGGCAGATCCAACTTTCTAACAAGATAATGCCCGACCACATGTTGCAAGAGTCACAATAGACTTCTTTCAACATAATGATGTCACATTGTTACCATGGCCACCAAGATGTCCCGACTTATCCCCAATTGAGCACTTGTGGGATATGATGGGTAGGAGATTGCTCAATTTGCAACGTCCTCCTCAGACTCTAGAAGCACTTCGAGAGGGGTTGGTGGTTGCCTGGAATGAGATACCACAGGAGGACATTGACCACCTGATCAGAAGCATGCCTAGGCGCGTTGGAGAATGCGTAGCACATCAGGGTGCATCCACACATTATTAAAGGTCAAAGGGCTTTAAAGCAGTGCAATCATTTTGAAATTTTTATCATTTACTTATTATGCTTCATTAAGTACTTATACAAAATTTTATTAAAATAAAACCATTTAAACTGGGTGTTCGGATTTATATGTCACTTAGTATATAAATGACCCGTCGGGCACATCTAATATATATACTTCATTGGCAGCATATTCAGTAATGATTTTCTCACACAGCAAATATCACTGATTTTATACACATGCAGACTAATACACATGATCATCCAGATGCGATCTAGCTATTCAACCAACTTTCTTCTCAGAGATAAAAACTACAGACTTCTCGGCCTCACAAAATATATGCAACCAACGATGCGTGTAGTTTAGTTGAGTGATTCTTCCAAAAACTACCTAGTCTGCAAGATGACATCTTATAGGTTTTTTTTTGACGTTTCATACGTTTTTTACATAATACACGTGCCGATCACCAAGACGCATTAGACAGATGTTCCAGATTCCAGAATAGTCATTCCAATACCTCCTCCATCTGTCTTTGAAACGTTGCTGGAGCACTGCGTAAACCAAACGTCGTCATTGTAAACTACTACATCACTGATCCAATACTAATGGCAGTTTTCTGGCAGAGTATACCTGCTCACATATCAGTTTACACTATCCAAATCTTTAAACCATTTAAAACTTGCTAAAGTTTCTTTTCATCTATTCTACGCAAGAGATAGCTATCATTGGTAAAATTCATTCTACGTCAGTCCACATAGAAACATATCTGCTGTTATCCTTTTTCTTGTCTAAGACTACACGTGGAGCTAAAAAGACTGCTAAATGGTGCCACTGCTCTTTTCTTTCCGAATAGTTGTTCCGGCTTTCTATTTTTTTTTTGGCTTGAAACAATCTTTTTGCATCTTACTTATTTGCCATTGCGGCTTCGTATAGTACAAAATATGCTTTTTGTCGCTTTTGTCTGGCCATGCAACAGAGCTTTGAACGCTATATCTAGCACCAGGGGGTCAATTCTTGAGACGAGGGAGTACCCAACTAGCAAAGTAGTGGTATAAGCTTTTGGTAAAAGAACCGTTCAGCCATAAAAGCTCTCTATTGTTGTTGCCTGAACACAAAAATGCTGGCTTAATGTTGTGTTGAATGCAGATTTGCTTTCTGCAACATATTTGCTCCAAAATGAAGTGTTTAAAATATTCTTATAGCATAGTTATACAACACCTTATAGGTCAAATTTTTAACTGTTGCATAAACGTTTATACAACTATTTTATACGGCATATTTGCACGTTAGTCAAAATGGTTGTGTTGTCGCATCCATGGTAACGTTTATAAAACAAACCCGAGCCTTGTTGTTTTGCTGTGCAATTTACTACTTTAGCCAACAAATTGCTCCCAACGGAAGCACTTATACAACTGTTGTTTAGTAACTGTTAGAGGCTGTACATATGCTAAATATGTAGGTAAACAACTTCACCATAACCTAACTTTCTGCTGTCATATTTTTGTAAAATGCTAAAATGCCATAATCAATGTTTTAAAACAAACAACGCATGCATATTGGTTCAAAAGGTTATTCAACTGTTCAAACAGAAGATATAGATCTCGTACAAATTCTGGGTAAATCATTCTACTCTGTCGGTATTTCATTTCAGACATTTGTCAAATTGTTGTATAACACCTGCAGGCAAGACCAAAACATTCTAACAACCTAACGACAACATGGACGATGCCATGATTGTACACAACCACCCGCCATATTGGGTAAACATGTATTCCTCTATTTAATATTAAATAATTATGTTTCAGATCGAAATTACAGATATAAAGTGATAAACATTAGTGTAATTGTGTCTAAATATAGGATTTGTGGAAGATTTAACGCAGATAAGTTCAGTTTTCCATCTTAAAAATCTAGACATACTTTTGGTCATTTTCAAAATATGAATCTAATATGAAGCCCGTAGAAATTGGGTAACTAATTTGCACGATATCACAGTGTAGAAGTTTATCATATACTTGTGTATAAATTCACAATGGCCGATATGTAAGTGAACAAGATGACTGTCATGTGTTAGTTATATATTCTTCACTTCGTCTATACAATACATAAGAAATAGTTTGGTTGCAATAAATTAGAATCACGTAACAGACGTAAATGTCCTATAGCGGCTGCAAGAGGCTTACACTTTTGTTTTATAACTGTTACCTGCAGCTCTTATTTAACCTCTTAAATGACCGAAGTCTCCTATTATATTTCATATTGCCGTTCTCGAATTACAATAATACACTCGTAGTAGCACTTTTTTCTGCGCCCAGCATGCACGATTTTAAAGTAAATCCGGACCTGTCTCGCCCCGACTTCGCTCCAGTCCATCCATCCGCCGGCGCTGCTAGCTCATTGCAATTTTTTCGTGCGCCCGGTGTGGTACTGTGTTTACGTTTCGGTGTTTACAGCGTGCAGCGTTTAAAATGAATTCCAAACGAGACTCTAAAAAACGAAAACTTCAAGCATTGTTGGAGGACTTATTAGATAGTGCAAGTAAGTATATTAATATTCCTTACTGTTCGTTTTATTACAGATTTACTGATCGCAAAACCCCACAGGGTTTAGGCGAATACACGAAATACACGTTTCCCACAGAAACGGTGATATTTTATAAACATAAACCATAGGCAATGAGGTAGTCCTACTGGCCTATTGAGCCTTTAGTATTTATAAACGATGTTTCCACAGAAATGCGTTTATTAATATTCCCACAGGAATATATATAGGTATATTAATTCAGTTATTTCGACTGACATGTATTTGTTATTCTTACAAGAATAGCTCGATAAGAATGTCTTTTTTACCTGTTTTGACCTCGACGCGTACCCGAGCGTTATCTCTTTACGCTGACCTGTTTGTATTATTTTATTTTACCATCTATACGATCTATTTAGCGGGGATTTACTGAGCAACTTTAGGTTGTTCTATTTTAGGTGAATCGGATGCTTCACAACATCCTGAATCTATACAGAATGAGGAGACCCCAGGGTTAGATGAAGAAGACGAGGAAATGAACATTCCCATCGCCCATCTAGGAACAGGTGAAAAACCTGTTAATCCTTTAATTGCCCTCCTTGAAGGAAAAGGATCAAACTTAAACAATGGACCAGCAGTTCATGAAGATATTCAACAGTTGCTAACGCTGTTTATAGCTAAAGGTTTAGATAATGATACACGCAAAGAGGCCATTGATTCGTTTCCGTTGCTGAAAGGCTGTACGGCATTAAATCCGCCCGAACTAAATGCTGAAATAAAAATCTGTTTGAATTCCGCTGTTCTTAGACAAGACGCATTTTTGGTAAAAATTCAAAACCAATTAGCCGCCATAATCAGTGCTTTGGCGGTGCAGTTTAATGAACTGTATAAAGATTCCAAGTCCAACCCCAGTCAGCCAACCGAGGAAGTTTTAAAAAAAGCTGGTGATCCTCTAAAATTAGTAGCGGACACATTTCATTCCATCTCTTGTCATCGGAGATACCTAATCGTTCCATCTTTGGACTCATCCATAAAAGACATCTTAGAGGCGTGTCCAGTTGATTCTCTATTGTTTGGAGTGGAATTCCCAGAAAAATGGAAGATGTCTAAAGAGGCGAAGAGATTGGGAGCTTCTCTTAAAAAGAAACCAAACAAGATCTTAAGAACAGGACCAAGTTTTTCTACTCAATCCATGGCTGTTGCTGGGCCGTCATCTTCAACTCCACGTTCCCGTACTTATCAGGCTAGAAATAAGAGTCCTTTTTTACCCTCGAGCCGCCCACCAGCCAGATCTCGATTTATACTCAACTTAAAAAACCTAAATTGTTTTCTGGATCCACCTCATTTTAAAATGGAGGACTACCGAACTGTGTTACAGTTAATATTTAAAGATTGTTTTTTTACAACTTTGGATTTAAAAGATGCTTATTTTTTAATTCCAATTCACAATGATCACAAAAAATATTTGATGTTTAAGTGGGATAATAAATATTATATGTTTAATTGTTTACCTTTTGGCCTCTCTACAGCGCCCTTTCTATTCACAAAGATTATGAGAGTAGTAATAAAATTTCTTCGATCAAGAGATATTACTTGTGTTTCATATTTGGACGATCTTATCATTATTAGTAGATCAGAGGGAGAGGGCATCAAAGATGTAGACTTTACTTCACAGCTGTTGGAATCTCTGGGTTTCATCATAAACATCAAAAAGAGTTCTTTTATTCCTTCTCAACAATGTCAATATTTAGGGTTTATCTTTGACTCTCAGCGTTTATTACTATTATTGCCAGATGAAAAAAGGTTATCTCTCTTACCATTTATTACCCAGGTCATTAAAAAAGACAGAGTGACAATACATGTTTTTGCAAAATTATTAGGTAAATTAGTAGCTGCTTGTCCTGCTATTCAGTATGGCTGGGTTCATTTAAAAACCTTGGAACGTGAAAAATTTATAGCGTTACGGAAAAACAATCAAAACTATAATTGCTCTATGAATATCTCTGTTGCAGTTACAAAAGACTTACAATGGTGGATAAAAGCTATTTCTAGTAATAAGGGTGTCCCTATACTTTCAAGTCACAAGTTCACACTAGAAATATTTTCAGACGCATCACGCTCTGGTTGGGGAGCATTCTGTAATGGAAAAGCTACTAACGGGTTCTGGGATCCAATACAACAAACCAAACATATAAATTTTTTGGAACTCCTTGCGGCTTTTCATGCTGTGAAATGCTTTGCCAATAAATTATCTAATTGCTCACTACTCATTCGAATTGATAACACGACAGCTATTGCGTGCATCAATCGGATGGGAAGTGTAAGGTTTGGACCCCTCAACACCATATCCAAAAAATTGTGGACTTGGTGCGAAAGTCGCCAAATTTTTCTGGTCGCCTCATATATTAATACGGCAGATAACATATTCGCAGATAGGGAGTCAAGAACAACAAAAATAGATACAGAATATGAACTATCCTCATATTGTTATGAAAAGATTTGTTCTCATTTTGGAACTCCGAGCATTGACTTGTTTGCAACCTATATCAACTCTAAATGTTTACGTTATATTTCTTGGAAACCAGATCCTGAGTCCTTACGGGTAGATGCATTTACGGTATTTTGGGGAGACGAATTTTTTTATGCTTTCCCACCATTTTGTTTGATATCTAAATGTCTACGTAAAATTATCAATGATAAAGCAAAAGGCATTATTGTGGTATCAAGTTGGAAAACTCAACCTTGGTACACCATATATAAAAGATTATTGATAACGAAACCTTTGTTGTTCAAACCAAGTAAAGATTTATTACTTTCGCCTTTCAGAGAGCCACACCCCCTATGGAAAAGTCTTATCCTGGAGGCAGGAATTTTGTCCGGAACTCTTTCCTCCATAGAGGCTTTCCAGCAGTAGGTCTGGATACAGTTATGGAATCTTTAGCTCCAAGCACTCTTCACCAATATAATTCTTATTATCAAAAATGGTGGTCTTTCTGTATTAAGTCAGAAAAAACCCTTATTCGTATTCCTTGAACTTATTAATCTCATTTTTAACTGAAGAATATAAAAAAGGTGCCTCATATGCTACACTAAACTCACAATATGCGTCCCTCTTATTATTATTTAATATAGATGCCATAGATAAAGCTCATTTAAAGAGATTTCTCAAAGGTGTTTCCAAGAAAAATCCGCCAAAACCCAAATATCAAACCACATGGGATCCTACCTGTGTTTTAGGTTTTTTATCATCTTGGTACCCATTAGAGGAATTACCAATTTCTCAATTAACGCAAAAAATGGTTACTTTACTAGCATTAGTTACAGGCCACAGGATACAAACTTTGTCAAAAATTAAAATTTCGAATATAATATATTTTGAAGATAAATTAGAAATAAGGATACCAGATTCTATAAAGACCTCATCGTGTAAAAATTTCCAGCCTGCTTTGGTTATACCATATTTTAGAGAGGAACCAAAGTTGTGTTTAGCTTCTGTTATTGATGTTTATATTAAAAAGACTAAAGATACCAGACCTAACGATACAGATTACTTAGTTTTAACTTATAAAAAACCAATACATCCGGCGAGTTCACAGCGTATCAGTAACTGGATAAAGCTTACTTTGAAAAGCAGTGGGATTGATATGTCTCAATTCTCCGCTTATAGCACGCGTCATGCGGCTACTTCGGCAGCATATCGAGCTGGCGTGTCAATTGAACAAATCAGAAAGACAGTTGGCTGGACAAAAAATAGTTCCATGTTCAATAGGTTCTATAATCGCCCGTTAGGTCTGGACTCTACAGAATTTGCAAAAGCAATCTTGACTTTAAAATAGGTTCAGATTTGCCCTGTGTTTTGTTCCTATAGATTTAGATTGGTTTGGTGTTTTGTTCCTATGGTTGCTTAGCAATAAAAGATTTTTGCAGATCTAGATCGTTTAACTTTAAACATCTACGAGTGTATTATTGTAATTCGAGAACGGCAATATGAAATATAATTACTAGATCAATTGACTTACCTTAAGGAAAATTGATCGATATTATATGAATATTGCCGTTCGAAGAATTACAATCCCTCCCATATCCCTACCCCCTTCACGATCTAGATCTTCCTGGGACTTCACCAAAATTGCAATGAGCTAGCAGCGCCGGCGGATGGATGGACTGGAGCGAAGTCGGGGCGAGACAGGTCCGGATTTACTTTAAAATCGTGCATGCTGGGCGCAGAAAAAAGTGCTACTACGAATGTATTATTGTAATTCTTCGAACGGCAATATTCATATAATATCGATCAATTTTCCTTAAGGTAAGTCAATTGATCTAGTAATTATGTGTGCCCATTCCGCTTGTATAGCTGTTGTAAGAGGGTTTTGCCAATGTTCTTACAGTATACAATGCTGTTTAAGGAATACTGTATAATCATTCTTGCAACTCTAATAGGAGTGATAATTGTTAGTTGGGTATAATATGTGATAGAAAGTGGGCCATGGTTCTATTAATTACCTTTCGAGAAATTGTGTTCTTTACACTGAGAGAAGACTCGCTCCCCGAGTGGAGGAGAAAAAGTGCGGAGGTCTCACCGTCGTTCATCACTCTCATCTATAAAGGCGAAGTTATCTTTATGATGTAACGTTTAATGATATTTTTTTGGCAAAAATGAATCGTACTACTATTCTTCATTATTCGTCAAAGCGGTCCGGTGGACCTTTGCTCTTAGTTAAAAGTCTCGTCGGTCTGTTAGTCTGTCAGGTCTGGCTACCCAGATACCAAACATGTTTAAGGGGAAAAGGGAAGAAGGAAAGAAAGGAAGGAAGAAATAGAGCAAAGACAAGAAGTAAATCATTTGAAATAGCTTAAGCATCATTGCTTTGACTACTCGAATTATTTTATAACTCCAAAAAATAATTTTGATCGGTTTTGTATACTTAAATAATTTTGGCTGGTCTGAATTTACAATTTAACTTTCATCACAGTGCGAGGCGCGGCCTGGAATGTTTGCGAACTGGCTCGACTGTGTAGTCTACTGAATCACGCAACAGAGGGTTGCTGTTCGATTCCGCTTGATTATAACGCTGCGCTTGTTGTTTTAGACAATCCCTTAGATATGGAATATCAAGATCTCTGTGAATGGTCTCATTTGACACGTATCAAGGGGCGTTAGTAATTATTGTGCGTTTTCCACTTATGCAGGGTGACCAAAGGAAGTCAGGATTTTTTGGCAAAGTTCTCAATTTTTGATCTTGGGACATTTTTCTCAAATTTTTTCGAAAGTTGGGTTTAACTCAAATTATCAAATTTTTATTTGGGGGTTTCTCTTGAGAATGTACATTATATTTTACAAGAAAAGTAAAGCAAGTGGAAGAAAAGATAAAAATTTACTAGAATGATATTCTCTCAGAAAGGTATCCCTTATTCTACAATTAAGTTATTGCAACGCAAAAATCAAAATCGTGATCAATGTATTGTAGTAAGCCCAAAAGAAGGTGACATGTAGGCGCTGCCCTATATTTGAGTACGAAAAATGCAAAACAAAATGAAGAACACTCTAAGAATTTCAGTCAGCAATAATCAATATAACAATATCTATAAAATACCCAATTAAAATGATATTTTACCTATTCACATTACGGTTTTTTGTGGTTCTCCGCAATGCCTTTCAATTAAAAGGAAGCAGATATTGAACAAACTTATTCAGGACGACGTGCATTAATGGACGTGGTCCGATGCTATACAAAAAAGAACTTACAGCTGAAGGTTAAAATCCCATTAGAAATTCGACGAGGTAGCACCCAAACCAAAACACCTAACGTAACGTACAAAATAAGAGATACCACTCCATAAACTGGTGTTTCGGGCGTTGATATTCCAGAGTCTGGAAGTTAACGAAACAACGCCTACACACGACCAAACCTCAGCAGAAAGAAAAGAAAAATGGCACTGGACCCGTCTGCACACGTAAATTTTTAAAACAAGGTATCTTGGTAGGAAAAGAAGGCATCTCGATAGGAAAGCGAATATTCATATACGGCTAGTACGTGCACAAGGTGGCGCGCTGGTTGCCAATGGACAGAACTCTCTAGGAGGGACCAACAATATTTTTTGAGGACATTTCTGAGATAGTCATTAATAATACTACAATATTAGTGTCCAAAAGATTTCAACACAAGACTTGGGTCGCCGAGAAAATATATAATACGTGTGATATTATACAATCAATAAACTATGAAACTTACCAAAAGAAAATCATTAAAAAAGGTTTGGCCTAAGAATCGGTAGTCTATAACACTGATCAACAGCCAAAAAATATCCTAAATAAAATCAACAAAATATTACTATTTTTAATGTACTAAAACCGGAATGAAACTTATTTTTTCAATATTAGTTCAAGTTTTAGAGATACGGTAATTATATGTGTTCCTGCTGTGACAGTGTTAATATACTGTAATTCACAAGAATGCACGTGCTACATTTTTATATTCGGCAAGGAAAGATGATGTAATCGGCATGATTGTGTTACGTTATACATACGTGTACATTATGTTGTTTTGTATTAGCAATTTTTTCCTTAGTTGGCTGACAGCGTTCATGCAAGATGTCTCGAAAGTGTATAAACAATCCAGATCAGTTTTGTTACGTGTGTGGTGATGTGACTTTTGCGTCTCAGAGACGGTCCATTACTCCACTAATAACAAAGGCATATTAGATTTATTTCGGTTGTAAACTAGGTGATCAAGACAAACAGTGGGCACCCCACATCTGCTGTAATATATGTGCTTCAAGTCTGAGGAGCTGGTTAAATGGCAAAAAACGGTCTATGCGCTTTGCTGTCCCAGTGGTTTGGAGAGAGCCTACAAATCATATTAATGATTGTTACTTTTGCATGGTACCTTGTGTTGGACAAGCCACAGGTATGTCCAAGAAAAAAAAATCGGTTATCAACTACCCAAACATACCATCTGCGATGAGACCTGTGCCTCACAGTGACGAAAATCCTATTCCAAAACCCCCAGAATCCTACACTTGCGAATTAGAAAACGAATCAGATCATGGCGATCGAGTGATTCGTCAGGAAGAAGATATGCCATCAACGTCAAGAGATCCTGATTTTATACCGAGCACGTCATGCCACCAACCGCACAAAATAACACAGTCAGAGTCAGAATTAAATGATCTTGTAAGAGATTTAGAACTTCCAAAATGTAAGGCAGAGTTACTTGGATCAAGACTGCAGCAGTGGAACTTGTTAGAAGACGATGTTTCGGTATGTGTTTTTCGTAAATGCCACAAAGACTTAGGTACTATTTTTCAATATGGAGAATAACTTGGTTTTCTGCAGTAACATTAACGGCTTACTGGCGGCTTTAAATATAAACTATGACCCAGAAGGATCTAGATTGTTTATAGACAGTTCAACATTGAGTTTAAAGGCAGTGTTATTGCATATTGGAAATATTTTACCATCTCTTCCTGTAGGGTATGAAGTTCACATGAAAGAATCATATGACAATATGAAGTACCTATTGACATGCATAAAATACGATGAGCACCAATGGCATATTTGTGGCGATTTGAAAGTTGTTGCACTTTTACTTGGGCTGCAGCTAGGCTACACAAAGTTTTGCTGTTTTTTGTGTGAATGGGACAGTCGGGCAAAGGCACCTCATTACACCAGACAAAACTGGCCTGTTCGTCAATTCCTAGAGCCAGTCAAAAAAATGTAATTTTATTACCACCACTGCATATCAAGTTGGGTCTAATGAAAAACTTTGTCAAGGCATTAGATAGAGATGGGTCAGCTTTTCAATACCTGCGTCAGAAATTTCCAAGACTAAGTGAGGCAAAGGTTAAAGAAGGTATTTTTGTTGGCCAACAGATTCGAAATATTTTGAAAGATACACAGTTTGAAAACACTTTAACAGGTATTGAAAAAACTGCTTGGAATGATTTCCGTCTGGTGGTCATTAATTTCTTGGGAAATAGAAAAGCTGACAACTATAAAACCCTTGTCAAAAATATGCTGTCATCGTATCAAAAGATGGGGTGTAATATGTCTCTTAAGATACATTTCCTACACTCACACCTGGACTTTTTTCCTGACAATTGCGGAGCCGTAAGTGATGAGCACGGCGAACGTTTTCATCAGGATATTTCAACAATGGAAAAAAGGTACCAGGGAAAGTGGAATCCTTCCATGCTTGCAGACTACTGTTAGACTCTTGGTAGAGATGCTCCAGAAACGATCCATAAAAGAACAGCAAAAAGACAGCGCATATAGTGATTCTTATAAGTATATGAATCTTGTTACTTCTTTTAATATATCCTTAAAAATAAAAAGTTTTTTTTCTAAACCGCAACTAATTTTTTTATTTCATTGTCATTTTTGGATTCAGCGCCCCAAAATTAACAAAGAAGTGCACTTTTCCCACAAGATACAATTAAAAAACTAAAACTTGTTGTCCAGATAATCAATAAAGAGTAATTGAAATTACTGGTAAGTGATCAAAATAGTAAAAAAAAAGGTTACGTGATTTTGGCACTTGGGTAAAATTTTCCATGCTGCAAAGCAATTGTCTACCAGTTTATTTCGTATGTCTAATATTTCTTTACATTTGTGGCTATTAAATCGTAACGCCATCTTAATGATGATACGGCGCTTTGTGCAATCTTATTTGGATAGACCTTATATCCTGGTTAGAGGATAGTTGTCCAACTTTCGTTTGTTGTCCTATCTGAGACCAAGCCTTGGACGTGTTGTTGAGTTGCCAAAAAGCACGAAACAGCTGTGCATAGTTGGAAGTCTGTGATCGAACGGACGAAAGCTGCATTACTAGCTTATAGAGAAAAGAGTTGCGGAACAATTTAGGTCATGAAAGACGAGCGGTTAATTTAGTTTTTCCTCTAATT